TGTAAGGGTGTCTGTATCCAGGACACACCTCTGTCTGCATGTAAGGGTGTCTGTATCCAGGACACACCTCTGTCTGCACGTAAGGGTGTCTGTATCCAGGACACACCTCTGTCTGCACGTAAGAGTGTCTGTATCCAGGACACACCTCTGTCTGCATGTAAGTGTGTCTGTACCCAGGACACACCTCTGTCTGTAGTTAAGGGTGTCTGTACCCAGGACACACCTCTGTCTGTATGTAAGGGTGTCTGTATCCAGGACACACCTCTGTCTGTATGTAAGGGTGTCTGTACCCAGGACACACCTCTGTCTGTAGGTAAGGGTGTCTGTATCCAGGACACACCTGTCTGTGCGTAAGGGTGTCTGTATCCAGGACACACCTCTGTCTGCATGTAAGGGTGTCTGTATCCAGGACACACCTCTGTCTGTATGTAAGGATGTCTGTATCCAGGACACACCTCTGTCTGCATGTAAGGGTGTCTGTATCCAGGACACACCTCTGTCTGCACGTAAGGGTGTCTGTATCCAGGACACACCTCTGTCTGCATGTAAGGGTGTCTGTACCCAGGACACACCTCTGTCTGTAGTTAAGGGTGTCTGTACCCAGGACACACCTCTGTCTGTATGTAAGGGTGTCTGTATCCAGGACACACCTCTGTCTGTATGTAAGGGTGTCTGTACCCAGGACACACCTCTGTCTGCATGTCAGGGTGTCTGTATCCAGGACACACCTCTATATGTAAGGGTGTATGTACCCAAGACACACCTCTATATGTACGGGTGTAGGGAGTATGTCCCCAGGGTACACCTCTATATGTAAGGATGTCTGTACCCAGGGTACACCTCTATCTGTATGTAAGGGTGTCTGTACCCAGGGTACACCTCTATATGTAAGGGTGTCTGTACCCAGGACACACCTCTATATGTAAGGGTGTCTGTACCCAAGGTGCACCTCTATATGTAAGGGCATATGTCCCCAGGGTACACCTCTATATGTAAGGATGTCTGTACCCAGGGTACACCTCTATCTGTATGTAAGGGTGTCTGTACCCAGGGTACACCTCTATATGTAAGGGTGTCTGTACCCAAGGTACACGTCTATATGTAAGGGTGTTGGTACCCAGGGTACACCTCTATATGTAAGGGTGTCTGTACCCAGGACACACCTCTATATGTAAGGGTGTCTGTACCCAAGGTGCACCTCTATATGTAATGGCATATGTCCCCAGGGTACACCTCTATATGTAAGGATGTCTGTACCCAGGGTACACCTCTATCTGTGTGTAAGGGTGTCTGTACCCAGGGTACACCTCTATATGTAAGGGTGTCTGTACCCAAGGTACACGTCTATATGTAAGGGTGTCTGTGCCCAGGACACACCTCTATATGTAAGGGTGTCTGTACCCAGGGTACACCTCTCTCTGTATGTAAGGGTGTCTGTACCCAGGGTACACCTCTATATGTAAGGGTGTATGTACCCAGGGTACACCTCTATATGTAAGGGCGTATGTACCTAGGGTACAACTCTATATGTAAGGGTGTCTGTACCCAAGGTACACCTCTATATGTAAGGGTGTCTGTACCTAGGGTACAACTCTATATGTAAGGGTGTCTGTACCCAAGGTACACCTCTATATGTAAGGGTGTCGGTACCCAAGGTACACCTCTATATGTAAGGGTGTCTGTACCCAGGACACACCTCTATATGTAAGGGTGTCTGTACCCAAGGTGCACCTCTATATGTAATGGCATATGTCCCCAGGGTACACCTCTATAAGTAAGGATGTCTGTACCCAGGGTACACCTCTATCTGTATGTAAGGGTGTCTGTACCCAGGGTACACCTCTATATGTAAGGGTGTCTGTACCCAAGGTACACGTCTATATGTAAGGGTGTCTGTGCCCAGGACACACCTCTATATGTAAGGGTGTCTGTACCCAGGGTACTCCTCTCTCTGTATGTAAGGGTGTCTGTACCCAGGGTACACCTCTATATGTAAGGGTGTCTGTATCCAGGGTACACCTCTATATGTAAGGGTGTCTGTACCCAGGACACACCTCTGTCTATATGTAAGGGCGTATGTACCCAGGACACACCTCTATATGTAAGGGTGTATGTACCCAGGACACACCTCTATATGTAAGGGTGTATGTCCCCAGGGTACACCTCTATATGTAAGGGTGTCTGTACCCAGTGTACACCTCAATATGTAAGGGCGTATGTACTGAGTGTACACCTCTGTCTATATGTAAGGGCGTATGTACTGAGTGTACACCTCTGTCTATATGTAAGGGCGTATGTCCCCAAGGTACACCTCTATATGTAAAGGACTATGTACCCAGGACACAACTCTATATGTAAGGGCGTATGTACTGAGTGTACACCTCTGTCTATATGTATGGGCGTATGTACTGAGTGTACACCTCTGTCTATATGTAAGGGCGTATGTACCCAGGACACACTTCTATATGTAAGGGCGTATGTACCCAGGACACACCTCTATATGTAAGGGTGTCTGTACCCAGGACACACCTCTATATGTAAAGGCGTATGTACCCAGGACACACCTCTATATGTAAGGGCGTATGTACCCAGGACACACCTCTATATGTAAGGGCGTATGTACCCAGGACACACCTCTATATGTAAAGGCGTATGTACCCAGGACACACTTCTTTATGTAAGGGCGTATGTACCCAGGACACACCTCTATATGTAAGGGTGTCTGTACCCAGGACACACCTCTATATGTAAGGGTGTCTGTACCCAGGGTACACCTCTATATGTAAGGGTGTCTGTACCCAGGGTACACCTCTATATGTAAGGGTGTCTGTACCCAGGGTACACCTATATATTTAAGAGTCTGTACCCAGGGTACACCTCTATATGTAAGGGTGTCTCTACCCAGGGTACACCTCTATATGTAAGGGCGTATGTCCCCAGGGTACACCTCTATATGTAAGGGTGTCTGTACCCAGGGTACACCTCTGTATGTAAGGGTGTCTGTACCCAGGGTACACCTCTATATGTAAGGGTGTCTCTACCCAGGGTACACCTCTATATGTAAGGGCGTATGTCCCCAGGGTACACCTCTATATGTAAGGTTGTCTGTACCCAGGGTACACCTCTGTATGTAAGGGTGTCTGTACCCAGGGTACACCTCTATATGTAAAGGTGTCTGTACCCAGGGTACACCTCTATATGTAAGGATGTCTGTACCCAGGGTACACCTGTCTGTATGTAAGGGTGTCTGTACCCAGGGTACACCTCTATATGTAAGGATGTCTGTACCCAGGGTACACCTGTCTGTATGTAAGGGTGTCTGTACCCTGGGTACACCTAGGCAAAATATGTTAAGAGTACAATATGTTAAGTTACCACTTTAATACGCAGAATTTAGTTTTCAAAGTATACAAAACAAGTAGTGTTGCGTACATGTGTGTGGTGTTTGATTAATGCTCCTTGTATATAACATTCAGTAATAATCCTATGTGGTCTTGTACAGTTTTTGATCTGGAATAACCTCATGACAGAAAACATCTTTGAGTCTGTTGGGCTGTCAGATTATACATTCATAATCTGATGGTCTGTGTGTAATGGTAAGCTGAAAGGTTACAAAGGGAAATTCTCTGCAACCTGAACCTTGGAGTATAGGTAACTGTGTTCAGTCAACTCAACATTCTCTCCAACTGTTAGGAAAGCTGGACACACAAGGTTCATGTTACACAATTACTACAGATGCTCACTTTCAGTGAGTAACTTGGGTTCAACCACACTTGGACCAGCATTCCAGTTGTATCATGGAGTGTCAGTTTACCACTTTGGTGAAACCCAGGGCCACAGGCATGGTGCTGACAAATCTAGAAACTTAATTGGTTTGAACTGAGATTCCAATTTGCAAAGCGACTTGTGGCACCTCAGAGGACTGGGCTTCTCTTCCAATTTCAAGGACAAAAAAGCAACCATTTGTTCTCCAGCATGACATCTCCCTTTGTACACATCCCAATGGACATTTACCAGAAAACCAAAGGCTCTAAAGCCTACAGAAATTTATTTAAGACCAAATAATCAATTTGCTGATGTCAAACTTTAATCAGATAAAAATAACCAAAAACACACATCATGTAAATAGTGTTTTATTTACACATTATGTGACACAGTTCAGATGAGTCCTAATGACACAAGTGGTCACAGAGATGATGTTGAGATACAGTAAACTTGTTAGTGGGAGACAGGGTACAGACATTTAAATTCTCCCATTGATGTCTCCAGAGGTGAACTCTAATATCAGTCTGATAAAGTGTGAGTGCCCTTTGCTGGCAGGGATCCATGAAAATCACTCCTCCACGCAAGTCGGCATGATGACATATTCTATGGTGAACAGGTACAGCCCATTAAAATTTCTGTTACAACTGGTGCCAATTATATAAGTACCAATACCAGACAAATCTGACATATGTATTACATGGAAGAAAAGGGTAACATAACGAACTATCTGTTGGACAAATGCAACAATTGAAATTTCATAGAATGAGTTTCCAACGAACATATTTCAACAATGACATAGGCAGAGCCACTGTGGTACAACGGTGATTTTGTATTGTGAAAAAGAAGACCACAGACTTGTTGCACTGCAATATTAGATCCTTTAAGCATCATCCTGCATCCAGTAGTTGAAGATGTGCTACTCACATGATATAAACATGGACAAAACATGATACATAAGCAACGTCTTAATTGGAATTGAGCAAACTGTTTCCGCGTTGTACTGTAACACCTTCATCATTCAGAGATGCCAACCCTATTTGGGGCCTAAGTGTAATACTAGAGGTCAAAAAGTGTAATTTGGACCTAAAAAGTGTAATACTTGTCTGCCGATCGCTTCAACATGGTACACGTTTTCACGAAAGGAAGATTCTAGACAGAAACACATGTGACCAATCATTATGAATCTCCATACATCGAAAATTGTTGGTCATGTGACTCAACATACTTTAATTCCTTGCAAGTTAATTGGAATGAGTGCGATGCTAAGAGTAAGCGATTCCTATCGGTGCGAGGCCATTTCTGCACCCCTGCACCTGTGCGTTACGAAACACTTCCCTGTGAAAATTAATCCACTTAACTGATTTTCAAAAAACGAGTAGAAAAGCGTAATTTTCGCAGATTAAGTGTAATGGCATAATTTAATGGTCAAAATCGTAATAATTACGCCTAAAGCGTAAGGGTTGGCATCTCTGCATCATTGTTTACCAAACTAACCATTACCTGCTTGACAAGGATGTTACAAGATACACCAAACACCACCTCAATAATAAATAAGTTGCCTATAATTAACAACATGTCCTTGTTCATAACACCTACATCTAAGTCAAATATGGGATACAGCAAGTCCATCAGCTTCCATGACTGATATGAGAAACTGAGTTTGCTTGCATGGTATTTTGACACATATCACACCTGAAAGAAACATCGTATATTTAAATTGTTAGGCTCCAGTAAAATGCATTCCCTGCTTTTTAAGCATCAGGAATGAAAATCCTGCCTAAGCACCATGGATCAGCAGTGTTCATGATTTGAAACAAAGTGGTTTGCTCTCTGAAATAATCACATCTGGCCTTCATGTCTATATATTATTTTGAACTTATTTAATGTTAAAACAAAACATCTGCTTATTTCTTGATTTCAAGACCTAGTATAAAACCCTATTCCTCTGAAATGACAATCTCACCTACACACAATGTGTCTCACCAGCGTCGACATGTAGCCATATGGCACTGCAATGCACAAACTAACCTCTCAAGAATGATATTCATGACACTGTCAATGATGTCCAATTCCTCCTTCAAAAAAGACCCCATGTCATTTCCCTGAAGTATGGCTAAGCTCCACTGAATGGCATTACTGTCCTGGCACAGCTGTTAACCCTTCCTCTCAATATACACATGGAATCCTCTGATTGCCATGACTGTCCCTTCCCATGCATGATGTCCATTAAAATCCTGCCCCTCCCCTGAATAACACAAATGTCCACCCTGAATGATGTGTAAGTTCAGCACGTCTCATCTCAGTCCTAATCTCTTCTTCTCTTTGTCCTTCTTCCTCACGACATCGATCTGCCTGTCCTTCCATGAACTCTTCCTCAGCTTGATGGGCCGGTTCCCCACATACTTACCTACAAGAACACAAATATACATGTTACTGTCACACTGGTCAAAGGGCAAGGTTCAAGCAATTCATTGTGTGTAATGGCACTCAATTCAACTTTATCACAGTTATTTGCATAATGTAATACACACTCATAAAATCAGAATTTCTTTTCCGTACGAGACTTGGTGACTTTATTACCTTCATAGCAAAACATTACTCACCACAAATGATTAGTTATTTTGGTGGAATTTCAAGAATTTGGTGTGAATTTCCCAAATCTTTGTACTACAATATAACCCTAACCAAGTGATGTATCATATTAGCAGAGGAGTGCTGTCCCAACCCACTGCCAAACTTTGACACTATCAACCTGTCCCATTAACTGTCACAAGAAGTTAAACATTCTGGGCCCCGTTCCACACAGCGATCGTAGCGCTACAACAGTCGTAAGTCTATGTTAAAGTATGGGAGTTACGATCATCTTAGTTCTTAGGGCTGCGCAATAACCCGGCGCAATATAACCGGTTTAGACATGAAAACGATACGTATTGCGATACGCTGATTGAAAACCGGTATTTTAACATGCAATCGGAAAACTTCATAACACTCGGAAATCTTCGGATATTTCCGTTTTTAAATTGTTCCTTTCCTTGTTTCATTTGTGCCAAACATTATTTACATTTTTATTTTGTCATGATTAAAAGTTTTTATTAAAGCCTAATCAAGCATTGTGATTTTGTTGTGTTTTTGCTTTATAAATCAAGCATTAACTCGACTATAATTAGTTTTTTGTTAAAAAAAACTTCTTGCAATATATTGCAATACATATCGTAATACATGCTTTCGTATCGCAATATATCACAATATGAAAATTCCCTGCAATACCCACCCCTACTAGTTCTACGAAAGCTTTGTGGAACGGGACCCAGGCTACGATACGATGCAGTAGGAGACTTAGACATGGGAGCTGTGTTCATGAGTGTACACTGTGATGTATATTCTGATTGAAAGCACAACTTTGGCAGAAGTCTGTCTTACTATCAGGCTTTGATAGCCTGTCATAAGTCTGTCTTCCGCATTACTAAAAGCAGAGTAAATAACGTGCCCTTTAAATTATTCACTAATATATCAAATTAGAAGTCAGCAAGGTATTCATCATATTTCTGGTCAATTTCCTGTTGAATGAGACTTAACTACTCCCACACATTACTGTGACAATCATGCTCTCTCTCGCTCACACGACCATATGAATAGCTGTTGATTTTACCCATATTGCCAAAAGCAAGTTTACTATAATACATGCAAATTGATTGTAGCTGGTCAGGAATGTCACTCTTTCTGTCTTTCTGTCAAACTGCCATACACTGAGCACTAACTCTCATGTCGGTACAAGTCAATGTGGTGGCGTCCTTTTCGAGGACAATTACAAGGTTTGAGTGGATTTCAATAAATCTGCTTGAAAGTTTTCTTTGTAATGAAAAACAAGTGACAACTGTAAGCACAGTGCATGTTTCAATCACTATAGCAACATCATCAAAAATGAAAATAAGCCAAGAAAACTGAATAAAATATTGAAATTAACCTTAGGCCAACGAGGAATTGCATAGTATGTGTTCTGAGTGAATTCATTTAGTAAGTTGTAAGTCTTCATACTGAACATTCAACTTCCATTAATTCCCTCAAGCTAAATAATCCTTAATTCATCCTTTCTCACAAGTAATTCTTAATGTTACTGAGTCACTGCATTGTAGCTCACCTGGACATGTCAATATCTTAAAACAGTAATATATAGAGCTCTTTTATCATTGGAGGAGGTCTATATATATATATGGTTGTCACCACTAATTATTCAAAATATTTAACCACTACATGTGCAACATTTAAAAAACATCTGTGTCGACGGTATTTACAGTAGGATACACCTGCTGGACTTTACTTATTGTAGCAGAGTTGGAATCACCACTCCACTTGTTTCTGTTGGTAATTGTATTTTGTATTGTAAACAAGGCTGAATGCAACATGTTCTATATATATACATAAACATATATCTGCATAAAACAACATTAAGAGATAATTGCAAAATCACTTCACAAATTACCAGTGTGCGAAGTAGCCCGCTAGCCCATGGCTAGTAAACATCCAGTTGAGTCAGTAAATCTCCACTGTCACTAGCCCGACTGGCTAGTGAATTTTCATCACTTTCTCTCTATCTCTCTCACTTGTTAAAATATGATACACTTATAAATCATGCAAGATTATGGCCTGATAAAAATGTTCAAAACATAGGAAACTATTGGAAACTATTTCGTACACTGCAAATCACCTCAACTCTGACTTTGACCTTACACATAGGTCACTTCCAACTTTTTCTGCCCCCTCACCCAAGACATGACATGTACCAGGTTTCATTGAACTACTGTACACTAAATCCTCCCAAAGTTAGATGGCAAAGAAATAAATTTTGCAACTCCCTCAAAGCAGGTCACAGTGACCTACTTCTGAAATCAAAAGAATGTTGTCATTTGTTATACACAGGTATTCAAACACTAATACCAATAGATGAATAAGACTAAAAAATGTCTGCAGAAAAATGAAAATGGCAATGAGATCTTGACTGTATACATAGGTCACTCATGATTCAGAAAGAGATCCTGCTCCAAGGTGACTTCTAACAAGTTTCATCTACAGGCAACACTGTCATCACAGTCCAATTTACCAACGTTCTTAAGAAATGAGCAAATTCAATGACATCAATAAAATTCATTTTACAGATCAGAACCACAAAAATTAGAAAGAATGAATAGATCTTGTAACTATTCACACGTGATTCAATGTTTCAGACAGAAGATCACCGCTAATGCAGCGAAACAAATGAAGCACAACTGATCAAAAATAGCAGCCGGTATCCCCTTGATTCTAGACACCTACTTCAAATTATACCACTTTTATCCGTCAATAATCCTCTCTCCACAACCCCCACTCTATCCCATCATGCCCTTTGATAGTGAATTACGAAGCTCACAGGTTGACTGCGATGATTGTACAATAGTTTACGGGGCTGATTGTGTATGTGTTGTCGGCCAGTGCTGTCCATTTCCTCAGGAAGTGGTTCTCCCAGAGCGTGCATTTACTCCAACAATGGCCAGTGTGAGAGGCCTTGGCTGTTAAGTGTGGGTGGGATGTTAGCTACAATATTACTCATAACATCTCAGAACTTAAACACACATTTGGGACTTAGAATAGCTATTTGGGCTAAAACCCCCTAAATGTCAAGGTTTAACTCGCCCAAATATGCATTTGCTTCAACAGTGTTAAAAAAATAAACAGTCCTTATGAATAAAAAGTTACTTGCTTTTCACGAAGTAAAGAATGCATACCAGAGAACACTCTTATGAGGCACATACTATCATGGCCAGGAAAGTATTTATTTTTTCCTAATTGCCTAGCCCATCATCAGAAGAAACTTGACTTCTTTGCTGACCTCATGCATCTTCATTCAACATCCAAATTGACAGTAATTTAGAAGCCTTATACATTCATCTACAATCCAAATGCCCTTAACATAAATAACCTGTATTGACCAACTATAAGATAATTTTACCTGATGTATTTTGCCCAGTTGGTATGAATTCTTAAATATTTTCAGTTGAAGTTACCTATACCTGTTCATCATGTTATTCAGTCATTCAAGAAATTCATGAGAAAGTTTATCATATTGATTCATTTCAATAGATTCTTTCGAAGGTCAGTAATACAAAGGTTACAGGATAGCTATAGTGCTGGAGTGATTGATACAATTGATCAATCTGGTTTGCATCTGTGATTACTGATGAGGGACTAATTCATACTCATAAAAAATGAAACATCAAATTAATCTTGGAAAAAATGTTTCTTATTGTTATGTTTGTTAAATCAAGATATATACAACCAGTGTAGTTACCTGACTTGTAAAACTGCAATATAAACAACACACTCATGAGCGTGTCTCAACAGTAAGTATCCTCGATCGTCTTGATCGTAGTATTTTTTGTTGCCTGTTTTGTTTGAACATTGTTATGAAGGTGTGGTCAGCTCACGTGAGAGGTCACCCAGTAGAGATGGAGTGATCGAACCAACTTTCTGCATCTGCCATATCACACTGCACCATGACACAAGAGTACAATACAAATACAATTTTCTGAATATTTTAAATGTAGGTGAGATCAAACACCACTGATTTATTGACTAATGAGTCTTCTACATGTTTTAGTTTCGCTACTATTCATTAATTGATGAAACTGTTTCCTTACATTGCTTCTTGAGTTTAAATTTATTTAGAGATTCAATATAATATTCTTTGCTCAAGGAGGAACAAACACACTTTGGACAAATTTGACAAAGTAGGATATCATCATTGATGTGAACAAGCTTGTGAAGTTTCAGATTTATTGTCCTGTGTATTCTGAGGAGATGTTGTGATGCAGGCAGCACAATAACAACCAGGACAGAGCATTCAGTTAGGTTGAATTATAATTTCATGCTGCATTGTTAAGTTCATCATCCATGGTATTGTCACAGGTAAATTTGTGATGACTTGTTGTCAGGATCCTAGTTCAGCCACAACTTGCTAATATAACCTTTCCACAATAATCATTCATGTAACACCATTGCTTTCAAGGGTATTTTACTGAATCAGATCATCACTAAGTCTCAGTGGGCTAATTATTTGGGCTAAGAAATGAACATTGAACAGAATTTCTCTTTCAATGACCAGGATGAAGGGTTTGCACAGCTCCAGGAATAGACTTGTACCCACTAAGTGGGGGTGGTGGGGTAGCGTAATGGTTAAAGCGTTTGCTAGTCACCCCGAAGATCCAGGTTTGATTCCCCACACGGGTATAATGTGTGAAGCCCTTTTCTGGCATTCCCCGCTGTGATATTGCTGGAATATTGCTAAAAGCGGCGTAAGACTAAACTTACTCACTAAAATTATTAAGTGTCCCAATTGGCAATCATAAAGATGTCTAGGTGTAACCTATGGATGCC